TCGGCACATAGCAATCTGGGCATCTTTGAGATAGAGACAGGAACAATCCCTTAGCTTCCGAGAAGCTTTGTTTTCTATCTGCCAGCTAGTTTTTTTGGCTCCCACCCTCCTGGAAGCCAGTTTTGGAAGCCCATTTTTTTGACTGCCAGCTGGTTTTTTTGTCTGGCAGCTTGTTTTTTTAGCTTCTGAAAACTGTCTGCCAGCTACTTTTTTTAGCTTCTGACAAAAAAACAAGCTTCCAGTATTTTTTAATGTTAGCACTCCAGAAGCCAAAATTTTTGGCTTCTAGAAGCTTGTTTTTTTGGCTTCTAGAAGCTTGTTTTTTTGGCTTCTAGAAATTTGGTTTTTGGCTTCTAGAAGCTTGTTTTTTTAGCTTCTGGAAATGGTAGCTCATTAACAAACTAAAAAGAATATATATATAGATATATATTTACTAACCATGTCATCAACCTAGCCCAAGCTCAAGAGCATAGATCTTTTTGGAAATGGCTTGTCTTTTGCCAGTGGAGCAGACCAAAGGCGATGGAAGAATGACAAAAATTGGTTGGCCTCATCTCTGGCTTTGTGCCGGATTGTAGCTTGGCAGATTTTCCCCTTGAGCCAGACATGGCTATTTCAAAGCAAGCAACCTTTTTGTCTGTCTGGTTTGCTGAAAAGCCCACTAAGCCTGAAGCAAGGCTCTCTTTCCAAATTGCTTGCCCTAAAATGTCAAATTTGGACAGAGGTGAGATCGTTCAGCACTTGGTGCAATACAAGAGATGGCTGACCAAAAAAGCTAAAAATATGAAAAATGGAGAGAAGACAAGCCCTGCAGTCCTCCAAGTGATGAAAGCCATGGGCTTGGCACCCATCGCCAGTGAACCCCAGCCTCAGCCTGAAAGAAGGCTAAAAAGGAAAACACACATGCCATCTGATTCTCTTATGGCCCCTGAGCCAGCAATGGCTGCAATTCAAAAGCAAGACCTCCAGCCTGAAAATGACAAGGCAACAATTCAAAAGCAAGACTCCCAGCCTGGAAAGGCTCCAGCCACCAAATCAAACATTTTAATGCCTCAAGCAGCACAAAGTCCAAGGTGGAGAGCGAAAGCTCAGGCAGTGAAGAAAAGGAAGCTTTTGTGGTCAGCACACAGGAAGTTTCTTCCACTTCATCTGGTATAGTGACCCCTCAAAAGCTGAAACCCAAAAATGGGAAGAATTGCAGCTACAAAAGGCCTACCAACTGCATGACCCCCCAAAAAAAGCCAGCAATGGCTCCCAAGACTGCAAAAGTTACCAAGCCTGCAAAGCATGTGCACATGGCAACCCACAACACATGGGTAGCAAGCTGCAGCTTTGGCTAGGTCAAAAAGGGCAACTTCAAGGAGAAGGGCTGCATCCGAGCCAGGGATGGCTCTGAATCCAAACCGTATTTTTTGGTGAATGTCAATTTACCAAAAGGAGCCCCTGATGTTTCATGGCAGGGCTTCTGCCAAAAGAAGAGCTCAAAGAAGAGAGTTGGAAAGGAAAGGTGAAGAAGTCCCTGAGGAGTTAAAGCCCAGGTCCACAGTCTGAATAAGGCTCTCAAGAGGCAAATGTATGAATTGCATCGCAAAGCCAGGGAAATGGCCCAAGAAAAAGATCCAGCAAAGTTGGATGAATGGGAAAAGCAACAAGCAGACCGGCTAGCCATTGTTGCTAGGGAAGATGCAGAGAGGAGGGCCCAAGAGGCTTCCTCTGCCGAGGGGGCACAAGAAAGAGCAAGGCTTCCAGCGCCAGTGATGGCAATGGCAGGGAGAGGTCGAAGAGTGTGGGGACAAGGTTAGGCAAAGATGGGAAACCAAGATGTGAGCACATGCCAGCAGATGGCTCCCTCATTCAAGGTGGGGATGAGGAGGGGGAGGAGGATGAAGAAGATGATGGTGATGGAGTGCCTGATCAAGGCAAAAAGAAAAAGAACAGGAGGAGAAGCAAAACAGCCAGAGGGAAGAAGCAGCCAAAGGAAGAAAAGCCAGACAATGGCTCTCAGGAAAAGGATCCTAGTGGTGGAAAAGATGGTGATACTGGAGGTGCAGGGGCAGCAGAACCAGTTGCTGCTCCTTAAATGCCAGCAATGGCAACTTGCCAGCAATGGCACCCTGCCTGAAAAGGCATTCTACCAGCACTGCAGCTGAGAGTTTTTGGAAAAAAAAGGTGCGCCTGCCTGCTTTCAGTGGTACTTCAAAAGGGATGTAAAAAAGGAACTTTTGGAACTTTTGGACTATGGAACTTTTGGAACTTTCTCTTCCTAGATATTGTTTTCTTATATAAATCAAAAATTCCAAAAGTTCCGAAAGTTCCAAAAAGTTCCTGGTCACATTTTTCAACCCCACCCAAAAAAATCTGCAGCCATTTTTCTGACCTCAAGCTTTAAACAACTGGCCAGTGTCTGTAGCTAGATGGCAAAAAGAAAGGCTCCCGATGTGAAGGTGGAGCCACCAACCCCCAAGAAGAAAGCAATGGCAAAAGCAAAAGCAAAAGCCAGTGGCTCTGCCATTCCAGAGGCAACTCCTTCTGTAGCCTCTGAGGCAGCAGCTATGGAAGCCCCAAGTACTGAATCCAAGCCTGCAAAGGCTAGAGCAGTGAAGGATGGGGAGTTGCCTGCTCCTTCAAAAGATGCTTGGAAGGACATGCACCAGCAACTTGCCAGGAAAGCCAAGGCTGGAGACACAGCCCTCAAGACTGCCTGGGACAAGGCATGTGCCAATGGAAGCCAACAAGCCAAAAGAGAGTTTTACTACAACACTTTCCTTCTGGATGAATCTGCAGCCAGTCGCAGTGTACACAAACAAAGCCTGGAAAGGCTCAAATGGACTGACAAAGTCATCGATGGTTAAGTACCAGATAGCCAAGTTGCAGGGTGCTGACCCACAAGACCCAGACTTCAACAAGCTGGCAGAAGCTGCAGTGCTGGGGTTGCCTGAGAGACCTCATGAGGTCAAAGCTTGGGCAGAGTGCCTGTACATGAATCAATCCACATTAGATGTTTGGTCCATGAATTTGCCATGCAGCCCAGCTTTCTCAGCTATGAGGATTCCTATCTGCTGCCTCGATACCAGAATGATAGCAGCAGAAACAATCCAAGCAATATGTGGAATTTTGTTTTGGAGCTGAACAAAGGCACTTTTCCCACAGCCAGACATGATGGCTCACCCTGGCTGAAGCATGATGCCTACAGAAAATTTAGGGCAGGCGCAGCTCTGCCTGGGAAGGCAACCCTCATCCAAATTCGATCTGATTGGGATTGGAATTGTAAATACTTTGGAGCAGGCACTTGGAATGAGAAGAAATGGAATTGCTGGCTGTGCCAAGCCACTCCAGACAACTGGAGGTATATGAGCCAGAGCATGGCTAGGTTGGAGAAAACCATGGACAAGGATGCCTACTTGACTTTCCTCATGGATCGAGGTAAGTCAATCAATCCTTTGTTTCAATTGCCCAATGTCAGTAATGGCACCATCATGCCAGATTGGATGCATGTTTGTGATGAGGGCAGTTTTGCTGTGGCAGCAGGGCAAATTCTGAAAGAATTACTGCCATCTTTTCCAGGCACTTCTCAAGATGAAAGATGTGCCAATCTCTGGCAAGAGATTCAAAAAATGTATGAAGAAAGAGATTTTCCAGGCTGCAAAAGGCTCAAGAAGTTGACTGTCAAGGATATAGTCAAACCAAAGAAAGCTCAGTTTTGGATTGCAAGGCCCATGAAGTCAGGGATTTTTGCCCCCTTCTCGAACCATTGTGCAAAAGACAATGCCTGCATGAAGGCACCTGGCATGAGAAAGCTGTCTACAAAGTGGCCAAGTACTGCAGCCATATGTACAACAGTTTAGAAGCCTCCAACAAACAAGAACTGGTGAAGGCTGGAAGAAAATTCATCAGCCAGTACATGGCTTTAGAAGCAGAAGTCCAAGCCAGTGATGGCTCCGAGGTTCGATTGTGGAGATCAAAGCCCAAGCTCCACCTCTTGGCCCACATTTTGGATTTGGTTGAGCTTGGTAACCGTCCAAAAGACAGCTGGAATTATAAGGATGAAACATTTGCAGGGTCACTGCAAACTTTATTTTTTCGCAGAGGTGGTAAATTCCAGCCTGGCAAGGCTTCTGAAAAGGTCTTGCTGAGGTGGATGTCAGCCACTCCATTCCCTCATCTTGGACAAGCCAAGCCAGCAATGGCTAAATGAAATAGACAAAAGAGTGATGCAGCGCATAAATGTATCATGATGTTATATAAATATATAAGAATATCTATAGATATACATTTCCAGAAGCTATATTTTTTGACTTCTAGAAGCCTCTTTTTTTGGCTTCTAGAAGCCTCTTTTTGGATTTCTAGAAGCCTTTTTTTTGGCTTCCAGAGGCTTCTAACATAAAAAACCTGGAAGCCAAAAAACAGGCTGGCAGACAACTTTTTGGAGCAATGAAAAAAAAGGTAGCTTCTCGGAAGCTAAGGGATGTTTCTCTTCAGGCTGACTTGTTCCGCAGAGTGTGATGCCCGGCGATTTCATCTCAAGTTCCCCCCACCGCCCTCCCTGGTGCATCCGGGGAGTGATTGATTCGTTTGGCGGCAAATTTCGCGCCTTTCGTTCTCTTCAGTCATGGCTGTCAGTCAGCCTCTTTGGTGGCTCACTTCGTTGGCCAGCTGCCTTGAAACTCAAGCCTCTTTGGTGGCTCACTTCGTTGGCCAGCTGCCTTGAAACTCAGACATACTAAGGCCCTTTTTGACAAAAAGGAACTCCGCTGCGCACCGATGCGCTGTGCCTTCATGTGACATGGGATCGGCACATAGCAATCTGGGCATCTTTGAGATAGAGACAGGAACAATAAGTATATAGCTTTCTATAGTAACTAGAAGCTACTAGGTGGAGGCCATCGCAGGAAAGCTTGGAGGCTATCGCTACTAGTAATCAACACAAGCCCCAAGAGGTGGAACAAACACCAAGAGTCACAGGTCGCTCTCTCTGTGTGGGGTCTCAAGATGGGTAGACTATGGTAGGTAGGTAGATGTAGGTAGACTTTAGTGTCTCAGATTCAATTAGAGTGGAACCAAACTCATGGCCAGTTGCCTGGGAGGTCTCCCAATTGTCATTCACACATATACACACCCAGCTGGAACAAAAACCTCCTTCTGCGAGCTTTTGAGGAGGTCCTTTCCGTTGACATGGTGAAGCACCTAGTGGTCTATTTTTCGTGGGTGGACGATAGAGGAGCTAGAGTAAGGGGTCAGGATATCATGTGAGAACATAACTACTGGTTTGAGCTTGGAACCAAGCTGAACTTCAAACAACAAATGGCGGTCCTTATATTTAACCCAGTGCCATATCCATATTTAGACATTTGATCATTTTTGATATCTATACAAATAGTCTATACGTATGTATATGTATATACCAGGACCCTCCTGTCGGGGTGTCTGTTTCTTCGCCCCTTAGCTGATTCGGGGTGTATATTAACCACCCAAACAGGGGGTCCTGGTGTATACTCTGGTGTATATATATATATGCATCATATGTATTATACATGTGATCGGTCCTCAGGAAAATGTGCCTTCACGAGTCTTGGCATGGTCTGGGTGGTTAGACCGGACGGGAGGAAGGAAGACCACATCGAGATTTTGAACCGCCTGTTTCTTGCTTTCCCAAACACTCTGAAAGGCCCAGGGTCTTGACCCTCCCACAGGGTTTTGGACCTCAAACATGTAGCAGTTTGAGGGTCCATGAGCCTTTCGGTTGGATTCGATCTTAAATCGGATGATATGTTTTGACATGGCAGGGTTCACTGCCAAAGCTGATGACACTTTGGGTGCCTTCGGATGAAACTCATGGTATTCTATTCTTTCGCTAGCGTTTACAACTGTGCTGAAATCCCAAGTGGTGCATGAGTCCCGTTACTGTAGCGCCATTGACCCCGAAGACTTCCGGGAAATGCTAGTGATTCTACCGTTCACTGCATGCCTGTGACCGGGAGGAGGCATGGATCCATGCCTCGCACAACTCAGGTTCTCGGTGTTTGTTCCATCCACCCTGAGTAAACCTTCCCAACATCCCCACCACTTTGGGGCAACGGGGACGGTCCATGCTTAAGAAAAACGCCCGGCCTGGCCCTGGAACACAGGGTCCACCTGGCCGTGTTTGTTGTTACTTCCCTGTCAGGGGGACTCGTTGAATGAAACCATAAGAATGACAATACCACCTGTTACATCGGTTGGTTTGTTTCGACCAGACTCACCATGAGTCGAGCCAATCACCATCCAAACTGGTGCTGGATGAACACCTTTAAATAGTATGACCAAGTTTGACAACAAACTTGCAAGAGGATGCATCAAGTCTTGCCTCACACTGAACAAGGAGTTGCAGGTTGCACCATTGGTCAACGGTGCACGAACAATTTAGTTGCTCCATTCCAGCCTTCTAAGGCAGCTTCTGGTGAGTTTTGAGATACTTGTTTTTAGAGTGGTAGTGGTGTAACATAGACTTCTGAGACGGCTCACAGCAGTTTTTGGGAAAGGTGGGGATGGGAATTGATGGACACTTCAATTGGGTGCGTGGGCGGACCAGTGACGTGTTTTTCCTTTGTTGTGCCGTGCCTCTTGACTTTGTGCTGATGGGGCTGGGTGATTTTCTGGAGCTTTCAAATCGCTTCCAGGTGAATCAACTGAAATATCATCAAGACCAGGAGTCACAAAGGGATACAAAGGGGTGGTGTTTAGTCCCTAAGTGAGTGGATCATGGGCACCCCTAACCTCCACGGATAGCACCCCTTTGTGACTGCTGGAAGAGTCATTAATTCTTCTATACGATTCTTTCTGCCGGACTTTAATGGATGGTCATTGGCCCAGCGCGACTTGACGAGTGCTTGGAGCCCCTCATGGGATGTCCATACATTCTACCCCCCGTGCAGATGTTCTACATGGACCCTGAGAAGAGAGACCCGTGGTTTCGTCCACTGCGCTCAAACCCAGTGGTTTGGGGGTTCCATGCAGGGGAGTATCACCATGTAAACCGTTATGTGGTCAGATCCTTCGAGCATTTAGTTACATGACTATGGCGACTATGGCTTGGACCAGTTCTCTTAAGGGTGTCGCTGGGGAGTAGAAGAAAGCACACCTTCGACGGCTAAGGCACACCTTCGACATCTTGGAGTGCGCCTCCGACGATCTCAAGAAGAAGCTCTCGGTGGGGGCCGAGAACGGGAAGAATTCAAAGGGGAGAACGTGGACCGACGATGGATCGATCAATGGTATCCAGTACAATGAAACACCTGCAGCGGCAGCTGCTTCAGCTTAAGGTTCACCTGGGCACGACCCTGATATGCTTCCTTTGTTTGAACTTTTCGGAAGGTCGGTGGGTGTCCCTTGTATCAGAGCCTGGCAGGGTCCTCGAAATGATCTTTTACACTCAACGCGTCCCGGACGCCGTCACATAAAACACACTGTAAACATCTTCAGTCTGAGCAGACCACTTGGAAGATCACTTAGGTCCAATCTTCCCCCTGCGGCGCCTTTCGGATCAGGGACTCTCCATCCACGATCTCTCACGGAGAGCGGGACGTGCATCCCGTTTTCTCCGCGTGTCCCGTGCGCGTGTCCCGTGTGCGTGGAACGCCATGGGACGGAGCGAGCAATTGGTGCTGCCAAGCCCGGCCACGGTGAGTGCCAGCCCTGCAGACTTTGATCCCATTTGCTGTGGCACCGGATCCAGGCACTGGATGGGGCGGTCAGGTGTAGATCTCATGCGATCTCATGGATAAAGAGAAGGTTGTGGAAGCCTGGTCCGCTTGCGGCGGCCCTTGAGGTGTATGTTTTTGGGCTGACATGAGACTCGTCGTGAAAATTGGATGCTGGGAAGTAGATGTTACCCTGCCACAAGATGCAACTAGCAGGTCGGAAGATGTTCTGGTTTCCTCATTTTTCCTCTCTACAGTGCTATATATATATGATATATACAGCAGTCAATAGTATGTTGGGGTGAGGGAATGCGGTGCTTTTACATGCTTTTACCCTAGCACCCACTTGTGTTTTTCGGTCCGGACTTGGTCACATGCCCCATATCTGTACAGTCCAAGGCAGGTTCGGATTTGGTCGAAACGACCTCCCACCCCAGGTGGGTCACATCATGTCCATGTGGTCATTTCCGTGGTTCGGACCGGTCAGGATGTTCCCTGCAACTGTTGGGACCAGGTCCACGAACAAGTCCACTGGCTCGAAAATGGCCTTCGGAATGGAAGTTCCCAGCGTGCACAACCCGGTGATGGAGCGAGTGCGGGCGCCTTGGTAGGCGATCTATGCACGAGGGAAAAACCCAGACTGGACTGGATCTATGTGACGATTGCATGAGGGTCTATGTTTGCCCAAAGCATCCCAAAGCCCTGAAAATTCTAGAAGTTGTTCATCTATTCATCTTGAGAAACAATAAAAAGTAAAAACAAGGCACAAAAGGGCATCACACAATGAAGCCAGAAAAGCAAAAGCAATCATCATTGCAAAACAAACAAACAAAAAAGCAAACAAAATTGTAAACAAACATGAAACAACACGGCATGTTTGTAAAAAGCAAGACAATACCCTCGTAACAAACAGCCTGACAACCAGACAATCAGTTGACAAAAGGGAGTTACCTGGTAATTACTTACGAAGCAAAGCCAAGAAAGAAAAACCATCTGGAATAACCGACTACTAGGTGGTGACTAACTGTACTGCTACTGATTACTGCTACAGCTACTGTAGCTGTGAGCGACTGGGTGACTAACTGTACACCTCCAACAAAGCTTTGGGGTGGCTGACATCTACATGGTTCCTGAGGTTTCTGCACTCAGCCAGGCATTTTTGGTGGCAGCACTGTTAGGCGCACTTGTTAATGCTGTTTTTTGTTTTCGCTCTTTTGCAAACAACACGACCAAAAGTGCGACACTTGACCCGGCACCAGAAAACCAGTCAGCTGGGCTTCGGGAATGACAGACCCTTGACTCTTGGCCTTTCTTCCTCACCCAGTACTAACCCTACCCGGCCCCTTGCCAAAAAAGACTTGTGACTTGTGCTTTACATTTCGCTTGGACTGCGACTTTGATGTTTCGCAGATTGCTGGGCAGAGAACCAACGGCTTTTAAGGCACACATCATGGACCTGGTACTTTGTGTCTTTGCTTTTCTCCCGTGTTTTCTGCCATTGCCTCCATTGACCTTTTGGTTTGACCATGTAAAAGAGTGTTTTAAGTGTGTGTGTGTTTTTACTTATTGTTTGTGCTTTCTTTGTCACTCTTTTCTTGCACTTGGTTGTTGCTTGTGTTTTTTGGTTTTGCACGGTTGGTGCTTTCATTTTGCATTTTTTCAAGAACAAAGCCGCCACTGGTGGACACCATCCTAGGGTACATATAAATTTTTGGGACCTGGGATACACACGCGTGATTCTGATGGACAAGTCAGACCGAAGAAAATCTCTTTTGGCAATTCATTGTGTGTTTTTTATGCCTTTGCATGTGCGAAGCGAACCGTCTCTATATACCTCAAACTCAATTGTCAAGGACTTCCATCATTGGACTCCTATGCAAAGTGTTTTGGGGCATCTCTTGTGGCTAAGGAGAGAATGTACTTGAAGGGCTTCTTGCGGAAGCACCGATTCAAGGATGCCCGGACTGCTCGGTCAGGTGGTGGCTGTTTCTTTCCCAGAGAGAGCCCTTTGGTTTACAGAAGTCCGCAGGAGAAGAGAAAAAGGGAACACAATTCCATCACAAACTCCTGATTGAAAGGAAGTTCAGGTGAGTTTTGGAAAGCAACCATGTGAGTTGGTGCCGGAAATTAAGTACAGGTGGTGTAACATGGCTGGACAGATTTGGGGATCCAAGTTTGTTCCGAAGCATGTTGTTTTCCTCCGAGCACCATCCAAGTCGAGTCAGGACCTGAACTGAATTTCAACAACTGACCGTGCAGGAACCATCAGGAACCCATAGGAGCCCTGGCTTTTGCGTCCAGACTGGACCCCAAATGAAGATAATGAAGTCAAACAAGAGAAAGAGGATGGAAAAGGATCCTCCCCTGGGATCTTTCCATATCTTTCCTCCCAATTCACCAGTATGTTTCAAACCTTTGTCCCTCAGATTTACTTTGTGGGTGCTTTGGGCTCGTTTTTGAGAGCCAATGGGGGAGGGGTTTTGTTGTTGGTGACCTCTCAGATTTGCGAACAACTTGGAACTTGCAACATCTTCGAACTTTACCACTTTGTTTTGTGTTCAAGCCGAGAATCACCGTCTAGGAATCCAGTATATAGAATGATATAGAATGATACGGGGTGCATGTTCATGATGGTTGGTACATAGCAACGCCCCAGTACTACCCCTTTTCAAGGGAAGTTTCGTTGGGCTGGACTATCGATCGATTCGATCGTTGTGGGGGGGGAAAAAGATGGAGAAAGGGGGCCCAGCAGAACCTCAATATTCCATAAGTGTCCATGACATTCTGGGTCTCATCCAGCATCCAGGACGCTACTAGGGGCTCCTGGCCTTACTACTAGGAACAAGGTTCGCTACGAAGGGAACATGTTGGGCATCGCGACTCCAACGGAGCGAGCAAGGACGCGTATATGACCTGAGTTTCCACTTCAGTTTCCATGACAGGTCTCATTCCAAGTCTCATTCCAGGAGGCGTATACATGGAGTTTCCACTTCAAACGACATTCCCAGGTCTCTATCCCATCCACTTGGCAGCACAACTGGGAGATCTCAACCTCGTGGTGCTGCTCTTGGCCTCGGGTGCAGACCCCGACGTCGAAACGTCCAAGGGCCGCACAGCGGTCCGGGAAGCCCAGTGACCGCCCAGTGGTGGGTGGAGGTGGCAGTTGACGCTGCCGGGGTTTGACGTCCCCGAAACTTGTGAATATAGATGGAAAGATGATGACATATATTCATGTTGTTTTTTCCATGATGACATTCATGTGAATGTGTTTCTTTTTTCCAATTTGTGTCCCGTTCCTGGGAGCTGCAAATCCAAGCTGTCCCTCCTCCCCACACTGCGGACGGAGCTCGAGCACCAGCCGCAAAGAATGTGGCCTTTTGTCGCGGTTGATCCGGCATCGTTGGTTCAATTTTGGCCTTCGCATTTGACGCCTACCAGTGCGGTCGAATGCTCCTAAGAGGTTTCCTCCTCTGATCAGGTCTATCGTGTTTGCTAGTAGAAGAACAGTTCCTGTATCTTCCCGCATAGTGGGGTGTGAAGCCGCATGCTTTGATCGAAGGGCCACTTGCCAAAATGTCGTTACCTGGACCATGTGTTGAGAGGTCCTCCTGCTCGGCCATCACTTCGCTGCTGGTCTGAGCAGCAACTGAATCACTGACCCTTCTCGCCCGCTTTGACCTTCAGGCTTGAATCGACGTGCCAATCTCCCCTTGCTGGTTCCACTGCCGAAGAGCCTTCTTCCTCCGCTGAAAAGTCATCCTCGTCTGAGCTCTCGTCCTCGTTGCTGTCCCCACGGTCGGGGTGGAACCGCCCGGGCCTCCTCCGCGTGGATGAAAAGCCTGAAGCTTCCGGGGGGGCCGTTGTCAGGCCTTAGATTAGCATATCTTAAGGCTGGCGTGACTCGTACAATGTAGCAAGTTGCAATCTGTTGCAGGACGCTTTTTTCTTTAACCCAAACAAATGCATTGTGGGTGTTGCACCATCTTCTTTCGGCGCCAGAGAGATCAGTCCTCCTCTTGGCTCGGAGGATTTCCCATGGAGAACAGTCCTGGCCTGGAGAGCAGCTGATCATTCCACCCGAGTCGTGATGACCAGCTGATGGAAAGTCTATAGCACATCTCAATAAGAACAGACCACAAAAAAGAATAGCGCAAGCGATTTGGTATACTTTAGGCTTTGGAGGCAAGACCCTAAACTTTCAGGTCCTGTTTCCACGCCGATGTGTTCAATCGTTCGATTCAAAATAGCTATTGACAGGCTCCCTCGAGACGCCCCAGACCCTCCCAATCCCAAATCCAATAAGATAGGTGTCAGATCACGCAAGGGAATCAAAACCTATGTAGTAAGGGAATTTGGCTGCCTTTTTGCTCCTTTTCCTACTGCGAGGAATCTGGTCCAATCTGGTTGCCGTAGTTGTTGCTGTAGGATCTATGTTGTTTTCCAGTTTGTATTCTTTGTCATCCATTGCTTCTTTTCCCTGAATCTATTCTTTTGAGAAGCTCTAGAGATGCCTCGCTGCCTTGGAAAGTCTTAAAGAGATTTACACCTGCACACAAAAGTGTAAAGCCAAAACACAATCCCCGGCAGGGCACAGAGAGAGGTAGAGAGCGAGCGAGAGAGAGTGAGAGAATCCAATAAAAGTGTGAACTTTGCGTAAAAGAGTGCATCGGACATGAGCGTTTATCTGAGAGAATCGAATAAAAGGAAGCTGACATTTTAGACATGGGACCTACGTTTTCGTAGCCTCATAGCTTGGGACTCGGTCCAGTGAACGACCTGACCTTCGCGCTCGTATCGCTGATGTTCAGGTGATGCTGGCAGAGGAGGCTGACCTCTATGGTTCTCATGAACAGGTGATCCAAATGCTTCAAAAGCCATGAGCTGGGTGGTGGTTTTGTAGATAATAAGTACCTTTACTTGGCCATTGAGTCATTTTTTGGGGGTTCGCGAGTTACAACCACCAACCCGATGAGGCGCTTGTTTGCACCTTCCCACCACACATGGACCCTGAACGCGCGCTTTCGCGCATCATGCCGTGTGGTGAAGAGACGGTGCATGTAACTTGCTATCCTGAATTTGCCGTACCATGAGAGCTGACACGCGTTGTGTGCGGCATGTTCATGTTCATTTCAGTGAGTCAGAGTGAGATGTCCCGAGGGTATTTATCATCGACACTTTCTGGGGGGGAGGCTATGGTTGGTGTTGATACGTTGTCCAGTCTGAAAGGTTTTTGAAACCGATCCGACCATTTGGCCAATTCCCTCGACATCGGAGAACAGATGCTGCCTTTTTTCAATAGCCAGGCGCTATACCATGGGCGAAACGGCTGTGCCACGGCTGTGCCTTAACGATCTAAACGGCTGTGTCGAGGCTTTATCGCTGAGTCTGAAGAAGGGGCTGAAGCAACGGATACTGCGACACACCCTAAAGAGAACTGGTCGAAGCCGTCGCCATAGTAACTAGACCCTCCAAGGAGCTGACCATAAGGGACCACATGGTGATACTCCCCGGAACGGGGTTTGTGCAAGATATAAATGGTGTATCAGCAGCTTTGTCTCAACATTGAGACAGACCGTTTGACACAGAGGAACATATTCTCTTTGACTATGATTTTATGGTTGGTGCTAATGCCTATTCCTTTATGGTTGGTGCTAATGCTGACGACACGGATTTGCGTGTTTCCCCAATGTTTCCTTAACAGGGAGTAGATTACCCTCAAGTGTTCTTGCTGCACGCGTTGTATTTGTTGGGTCAGCAAGCCTTTGACCAGCCTACTGCAGCCAGAAACGGCGTCCATTTGATTGTACGCTGGTGCCCTTGATCATTTTCGGGTGCTTGGTCGGCGCATCTATGTTACAGATTGATATAGTACAGGATTCCGATAAATGTTTAGTTTTTGGACGTTTTTGGACCACATATTTCAGCAGTTTGATTTGTTTTGCCCCGAAGAAGCTCAACGACTTGGTTAAAAGTTATGTCCAGAAGATGGCTCTAAGGAACAACTAGAGATGTGGTCCATTCGTTGGACGTAGCTTGGCGTGGGAATCAACGATTTCAATTTCGCCAAGGTCGTCAAGGTCGACGCTTCTGTCGCTTCGGTGTTTTAATTTCAACAGCCATTTTTTCTGTTCCGGGCTGGGACTGAGCCCTTTGCCATTCACATGTTTCAGAAACGATCAAATCGATTCATTTGATCGACTCGTGTGTTCAAAGCTGTTCTGCTCAAAGGGTTCGGTCCCCAAAAAGGCCTCATGGTTTGAAGTTCTCACCCATTCCCAGCTTCAATTCTCTCCTGGCACCTCCTCCATTCGATGCAAAAGCGAAAGGCTTCGAAGGTGGTAGACGGTAGCTGGGCCGAGACATCGTTCCACGCACCGCCAGTACAGCTTGTTACGAAGTGGCCGTATAGAACTGTACCTGTTGGCCATCAATGCACCAATTTCAACAAAACAACACACACAAGATTACACAAGAACGTTTAAGCCAATTTTAAGCCTGTTGGCAACAGAGTGTTTGTTTGTTGTCAGTCCAAGCTCAATGTTGTTTGTACCGGATGATCGTTTCCTTTGTGGCCAGCCATTGCCTTGTTGATTCTGGCGGAAGCGACTGTGAGACCCCGTGAGGGGAGAGACGTGGCCCAAATCCAGCATTTGGTCTGGTGGCACTGACCGAATTACTCGGCACTCCAAAAAGCTGTGTGCACATGTTCTTCGGCACTGCAGGTCTTTTTGATTGGGGTCATGGTGAATCCCGGAAACTGGACATATTGGAAGAATTAATACCCAGAAATCCATGTATGGAATATAGATATATAATCCTACATATACCCCCGGAGCCACACCAGGTATATATGCAAGTCCCATCCATGGAGTGTTTGGGATATGGTTGTAGCTTTATAGCCGGTTCCAAACATTCGCACATCCAAGACAAACATAGCCGAACGACTTGGAATCTGCGAATCCCGCAAAAAAATGCAACTCTGCTGAAGAGTCAGCCAAAGATGAAGAGCGTTCTTCCCTACCAGCACCCCCTGCCCCCGGAAGCTCCGGATGTCTAAGAAAAATCCCTTATGGAGGTTACTCGAGGTGTCCAATGAAGCACCCAACTCCCGTCGCCATGCCAAGAATGGAGTCGCTATGCCACATACCACACATATCAGTCACCCGATCTTGCTGGGTTTGCCTCAATATCGCCTTCATGTCCTACGAACATTTGGGAGATGGTGCACCACAACCGGAGACGGTCGACATGGAACGCTTCGAAACGGAAGCGCTGGACATCGTCCCGGACGCCCCCCCGGGGTCAGGTCCTGCCGAACCCACTGGTGGTACTGTGTTCATGCACTCTTCAATTGACCAAAGCCTTGGGCCAAAAATACCCCGAACCCGCGGATTCCGCGGGGTTTTTGCTCGGTGAAGTCCGGAAGAAAAGCTTTGTCATAGGCCTCCATTCAGCTTCCAACTGAACCACTGTATGTGTATAGTAGTCACTGTGGCCCACAGACCCATCACAGACCCATCAGTGGTGTCACTGGGTTTAAAACATGAACGTGGCGTTCAGGGAAATCAACACATTGAGAGTTGCTCATCAACTGGTTGGCAAGACATTCTCTCGGGTGACTTATACACAACCGAGAACACCGTTAATTTGCGAGGAAAAACATTGCGATACATCTGGTTATAACTTACAACTGACATTCCGCTAGAGTTTCAACGAATGTTATGTATGTTATGTGTTTGTTTTGTTGTATGTATATAATCGTTTGCGTTTCTGGAGCTAAAGCAAAGCTACAAGTTTGCAAGCAGTTTGGATCCCCGCCGTATGATGTGAATGGCATCACTCGTAAAGAGTGTTGTTTTCTGATTCCACTCCCGTGTGCCCTGCAATTCCATGCCAGTTTCCCTACCAACTTCTGGAACAATGACATGCAAAACACCCACAAATGTCACCCACAAAACGCAGGGAACGGCAGAAACCTGCACCCAAACCAGCAGCTGCGGAAGAGGTGGGGCGTTTGCGGAAGAAGGAGGTGGAAGATGCTGAACTGGAACGGTTGAAGAAAGCCTTGGACAAGAGTGTCTTGGTTGAAGAATCCCGGACGTTGCTGGCCCGGAGCGTTGGTGCTTTTTGATGTGTTTTGGCAAACCGGTTTGCCAGAACGTTGGACCACTTTGTGTGATGGGGAATTCGAGACTCTTGGACCGGATATGAAAGCATGAGCGATGAGACGTGTGCGTGTGGCCATGTTTTAAGGATGAAGTGGAAGAACAATGATCTGAGTCTAGGATTTCAATTTGTTGCAGACGTTCCTTGGATTTGTTCTTTGGTTAACAGGTTCCCTCAGATGGTAGGGGGGCATGGCATGGAATACTTCAGGAGGAATGACATGTTCTTCTCACCGGCTCTTATAACATCTATGTCGCGTTGCCAGTGTGGGACGTTCAATGGTCACCTTTTCTTCTGATTTGACCGTCTTGCAGAGTTGAAAGGGGAAAGAGTTGCAAGTTGCCAATTTGAAGCCTTCCACAAAACATAGTCACAGTCATTGATGCTGCTTCATCGGCCGGTCTTTGGCCAATCGGGTCGGTCGGCAACTCGCTCATGCCTCGAGTGAGAAGGCGATGTATGCAACACCTGCAGGGCTGTCAATGCTTGCCTCAGTGAGCAGGGGATTATATATGAATATCCATGTTTGACAGGGTTGAGTACCTTCCCTGCCTTTCTACACCAAGAAGAAGGACTTGAAGAGCCATCTCAAACCAACCCATCCACACACCCGGCACTGGTCGCGGCGTCCACCACTGAGCCCGCCGTCGCCTGCAGGTGCCAAGGATGAAGATGTCGAGATGAAGCCCGTGGAGGCCAGCGAGGGCGCGTGACATGCCTGGCATGTGTTGGATCCACCCGCAAGTATGGCATGTGTTTAATTGACATATAACTATATATATATAAATATACATGCAAGATTTTAATGGTCACTGAGTCACTAATGAGAAAAATACATATATAAAGAAGAGAAATGATTTGCAATCAATCCATTGCTCCCAGGACATGAGAACAGAAGATGATAAAGATGTTTGAGCCAAAAAAATGCTCCAATAAGACCAGTGATTTATAGTATACGCAATCCAAAAAGGAACCTGCCCAGATAGGGCATAGAAGGATGGCTTGAACATTCGCTCTCTTGCCAAATGCCTCGGACGCGACGCGACGCGGCTGCCGCCGGTGTCAGGATGCAGCAGCAGCGGCTGCGGTGGGCGTGGAGGAGCTGGACACTGGCTATTACCAGTTGCCTGGCGCCCGCGGTTGGTGGGTGCCATTGTCTGGCGGTCTCTCCCCTCGGTCAAAGGGGAATCAACCGCTTGAAACGACGCTTGGGGGCTTACTATTTGCCCAAATAGTTGTTATGTACAGATCTTTGGACTTGAACCGGATATAATTTGGAGAACAGGAGTGGCAAATGATCATCGTCATGCCTTTCACCGTCATGCAAAACAAACGAAATTCGTCGCCATTTATGGCTTGGACACTTGGACCATGTTCGATTGTACCACCCCGTTCGGCACGGTCGCACGGACGCGTGGCCGCACTGGAAGCGGCTGGGAATGGGGACGCGTGGGGTGAAGCAGTGACTCTTGGGCTCTTGGACCAACAGTCCGAGGTTTCTTGACAAGGGATGGCACATGTTGGAACCATGGCCAGGCCAAATGAGCAGAGCTGAGGAAAGCTTGGGAGAGTCAGAATTCTACTCATTTGTACTGAGTTAAGTCCTGACTGCGTGACCCAAGAATGAGCAAGAGCTTTGGACCCTGCCTTCTCTCAACCCATTCCATACCGAGTTCTTCCGCTTTGCCAGCCCTGTTTTCGGGGGTCATCGCCCCACTGAACTCAGGTTGGTGGGGATCATCTCGCACAAGGGCCGCACCGTACCTGGGGCCAAGGACGCCGAGCGTGTGAGGTTCGGAGGTTCAGCTTTCAGGTCCGATCATGGTGACTAATTGACTACAAGTGTAGCATAGTGTAGCTGTAGCTACTGTAGCATAATATTTGTAGCCATTTCGGCATGTCTCACAAAGAGGGCTCTACACTATAGATCTTGATTGGACAACCTTTGGTGTTGACCAAAGCCTTGGAAGACAAGCACTCTGTTTGCATGGCTGTGCCAAGCCGCCAACCGGCCACAGATAGTTTGACCCCTTGTCAAAATCCACAAGCTGAACACGCTTGGACGGTTGATGTTGAAACACTTGGACAAAGCTCTACCAAGTCTGAAACCACTCCGAGCTTCTCCTTAAGTCTTCCACTTTGCACGCCTGCGAAGAAGAGAAGAAAACAGCAACCAACCGAACCGCACACAAGCACCCCCGACCAGCGGCCACCAGAGCAGAAACTCACCACGCTTTTTACCCCAGGGGCGCTCAAATACGCTTAACACACAGTTTCTAAGGCCGATGGAGGCCACTATGTTGGATGGACCTTGCACAAGAAGGCCGATGGCAAGGACCTCAAGGCGGGCGTCTCCTTCTGGTGTGAACCCTCGACGTGTCGTTTTTGAGGATGGTATTCCGTATGTCTTTCGGTGTGTGCTTTTCCCAGTGAGGTCTCTCTCAATCTCTTCAAGAAAGCTCGGATAGGTCAGTGAGATAAGCTTATAAAGAGGATGTTGTTTCAGAACAACTCCTCCAGCCTGAAACCACGGAGAAAAGAATGAGAGAGGTCGACGTCAGGGATTTGAGTTACAAAGCTTTTCAGATGTGTGCTGGTCTCCCCGAGAAATGTCCGCCGAGTCGGAGTAGTCAACAGCCCTGGCAGGATGATCAGTGGGTGCTCTTTGATGATGATGAAGTCAGCTTTGTGAGCTGGAAAGATATGACAGGCGAAACGAAGAGGAGCCATGAGTGAGCCCAGGGAGCTCAGGGCAACAGATTGACAAACCATGACAAACCTGGTTTTGCGGATCAAGTGATTAGTTCGTTCCCTATAGGCCCTAGGGTTCAATCCCCTTCTGGGAAATTGTTGACTTTTCCCCGGTTCCTTAAGCAGATAGGGTGTTCTCCTCACATGGGTGTGGAACATGCACAACTTACCTGCACAGTGCTGGCAACCGGTGGTCGGCGGGGCCCAAACCGGTTCTAGGACATGACACCGAACCAAAGTTTATTGAATGAACTGAGTGTGTTCAAAGTGGCTGAAGTACGCTGAAATCTGAACCCAACTGTTCCCTTGAATACTGTTCTGTTCATGCTCGGGAAATCCTCAGATGAACATGAGCTTGGCCCGGAAAAACACCTAAGGAAAGGGGAGGTGTGCGGGATTGCTCCTCCGCTGTGTTAAAAAGGGGGAAGAGTTCTGAATGAACCGTGATGTCCAATACATGTTTGATGTTTTTCAAGCTACATCATCAGCACTATTCAGTTCCCCCAAAAAGGGGATTTCCATTTATTTCCGCCGTTTGTCATGCACATTTTTTTATACGCCTGCAACGGCATTTAGATGCTTTTAGTAGCTTCCAAAGACTAGAGTGTTCACAACCATTTGCGTCTCCCGGACGAACACTGGACAAGACTTGCCATGATTTGGGGCGGGCAGGATTGGTACATGTTGCCTGTGTTTTTTTTTTTTTTTCCAGACCTTATCAACCGTCATGATCTACACCACACACCCTACGGGACTGGAACGTATGCCTACATCAATTCCTTTTCAGCCAGTCAACTGGTCGCTAAGTAATGCTATATAATATGCTATATACCAGGGCCATCCAAAGGTGTCCAATGGACTACCCTACACTACTTAGGGATCTCCATTGGACACCCCTCGGATGGTCCTGGTATAGGTCTTTGGGAACTGTAGAGCTGCACACAGACCAATTTGGTTGTCCGTCAAATCCGATTATAAACTTGGTACTTGTATGTGTTGTCCCTCTGATTGGATTTGTTTGTGACAGTATGTTGTCCAAACTGCTTTGGCTGGTGGCTGCGTGTGTTGTTCAATCGGCCGAAGCCCGACCCACGGAAGCCTCCCGCAGGGATGAGCACAGACTTGTGCGGTGGCAAGGCTGACACACAGATCGTGGCCTGACGGCAGAGAAGTTGGCGAAAAAAGATGGAACCATGTAGATTCAGTAGATAGCCATCCACCTTGATGGTTTCTTTTGGTGTAATTGTGCTAAATGTCCTCGTCCTCGTCGATATCAGGAGAATAGTCAGGAGATGTCAGGAGAATATCTTCTGAGACGTATGCACTTGCTCATGAGATCAAATAGTAATGTGTTTTTGATGCCACCGGAAGCTGGGCTTACACACTCTTTTGTGTTTCGCTTCCAACCTTTAAGAGCGTGCTTTCTTGTACCACTGACCGCAAACAAACACACAGCGTCAGACTTGTAATCATTAACGAACCAATTAGACTCAGACCGGCTGTTGATCAACTGCTTAGCAAGTTCACACGGACGGACCTGTTCAGGCTTGTGCTCGGATTGACTCAGCTTCTGGTCGGAGATTCCTCCCAAGCCCCGCAGACAGTCGACCAGATCTGGAACAGCACCCGACAACCTTGGAACGAAAACCCACCAGAACCATCCTGTTTGGGTGTCCTGGCTGGACTACCCTACACTACTTAGGGATCTCCAGCCAGGACACCCAGACAGGATGGTCTTGGTATATCAAATATGAGCGGCCTGGAAGGTCTAAGAGGCCTGGATGGCCTGTGCGGAACGATGCTTTGTCATTTCCTAAACTGCCGCACAGCGCATCAAGAAGCACAGCGCAGTCCACTAGGAAGGTCGAGTTTTCTTTGCAGGCCTCACTGATCCTCACTGTATATCTACTGGGTTTAACCTTCAAGTACTTGGGATGATTGAACCCCACTGACTAGTTTTCCTCAAATGAGTTGAAACCACCAACCAGAACAGATGTTCTTGCTCGCATTGACCCCTGAACCCCCCACCCCCGTTGTATTATACCCGAATTGTCCGGAAGAGACAAATTCGAGGGTGCCACTTGGGGGCGTCTGACAAATCGGAGACTATTCCTTAGCTTTCCGGTTCCTTATTGCAAGCAAATCCGTTCATTTCACTGAAGCGCATCCTGCATCGAGGCTTACATCAACATCTACAAGAAGGTCACCGTTGCTGCCGACCCCGGGCAGTCTTTGGGTGCAGCCTCTTCAACTGAAAAGGAAGAAGATGTGAAGATGGAAGCTGGATATTCCTGAGCTAGGTCTGTCGAGAAAGTGTGGGAAACATAGTTCATCATCTGAAGATTGATGAAGATTGTATATTATCAAAGGTGTGAAAGCTTGGATACCACGGATACCATCACAAAGCTATCAAACGACCGGCACCAAACCAGCCTGGCTGGTGACGAACGTGATCATGTGTGGGATCGACATTTTCCACACACGTCGACAGTTGTGTGCCACAAGGGTCATCATGGGTCTCACAAGCCACAAAGCCACACATAGACCAGCAGTGAGACATAGTCTCGACCAACATCGAGGTGTGGAAAACCGAATGGAAAAGCCGTGTGGCCCCGGGGGAGACCCAGCGATGTACAGACTGCGCAGATGGTGGCAGGGGTCGGAAGTCTTTGGACGTCAGTGCATGTCATCCTACCCAGGAGAAGTGGGTTCAAAGTGGATCACCCGCATGTCACCCTCTTTTGGGAGAAGAAAAAGGACACACCACAAGGGAGATACGAACAGGTGGAGTTCGTTTGCTTCACCATGCTTAACCTTCCAGGGAAACTGATGGAGGCAGACTCTTTGAGTCTGGGAAGATGATGACCAGTCAACCCACAGATGTGGATCATGAGCAGGATACAATTATATAGATTTATATGGCGTGTGTGCCTCCGGCCACTGTGGTTATGCTGAATAGAGTTTGAACCAAACAAGAGGGAGTAGTCAGACTCTTCGACCCCTGGCCATGCTTTGGATGCTCTCGGACAAAATGGCGGGAGCTGACTGAGGATATGGTTGGAGCCCTACTGTAGGGTTACTGGTAAGATGTAAGAATGTAATATGTATATATATATATATTATATATACCCCAATTGATGAGTGAACAAAGTGAACCACGAGAACCCGACAGATGGTGCAAAATGGGTTTGGTCATTCAAGATTCAATTGAACAGGGGTTGCAGTGATGTTCAACTCACGTGTCTTGTGAATATGAGCCATGATTTGATGAGAATTATTGATAATCATATGTGTAGGGACCCTCCAAACCTGCATAACATAACATTGTCTCTAATCACCTTCTGAGAAGGTACGACTGGATCCCTCGGGTATCTATTTGGCTGCTTTCTCCAGCCTGAGAACTGAAGTGGTGGAAATCGAGAACAGTCAAAATTGTGTCATTTTGCAACAGACAAACGTTTGGGTATAGTTCAAGCCTGGACAGCAACATTGTGCAGCCGGATTCAACTCGTTTGCACTCATCGTAAGATTTCTCTCACATGCTGTGGAGGCAAGTTCATCCAAATCTTACTATACTAAGATCCCCACTGGGGTTTTGCACAAAAGTTTTTGACCATAATCACCTCTTCCATCTTAAACCACATGTTACGATGTCAAATTTTTCAAACCTGGCACATGTGGTCGTAAGTTTTGAAGGTCCAGACCTACCTGGATAACATCAATTGCACCCTGCAAAGCAACTCCCTTTCTATGATACCAGGACACATGCAGACACATGCAACATGCAAACAAGCAGGGTGCTGGGACCTAATTGAGTGTTGCTTTTCACCGGTCATATCCGTTTGCCTGCCCGGATGGCCATTCTTGCCCGGATGGCTGGGGCCAGATGAAACCAACACCGGCCTTATGAGGTGAGGGTTGGTTACGTGGAGGACGGGTCCTGCTTGGTACACTCTGACAAGTCCCACATCACATGGAAAGCGTGGATGGCATGGTCCTGAAAGGAAGACGACGACTTTCCCTTTACAAACAAGTGGTTTTCTCATCCACGTAACCATGTGATGTGTTTGGAGTGTAGAGTCTACCTAAGAAGATGTGTTGGCAGCACATGCCCGGGTATGAGGTTGATCTCCCGAGTTCGAACTCGGTAGGTCTTCTTCTTCGCCAGAGGGGCCAGTTGGATGCTGCGATTGCTCACCTCACCCTCACCACATTGGTCTTCCGTGGTTTTAAGGTTCATGAAAGATCATGGATCGTGCTAGACCTCGGTCTTCAAAGGTCCTCCGTAGATGGGTCCGTCTTCCATCCAGATGTGACCATTATGATTTCAGGGAGCGTATGTCCGGTCGGGAGGTCTTGTCACACCGGTGTTTCGGTCAACTGGTTTCGATGGGATCGCAGATCTCTGACAACAAGGGAAAAATACAACAAAGAGACAAGAATCAACAGCTCCAGAAAAGCCAGTTGATGTTGAACATGCAAACATTGAAGTAGGCCACAGATAGTCACAGGGGATATTAATAAATTACTGTATCGTGGATGATCCAAGCTTAATTCAATAGTGTACACATTGAGAATCAACAGGACCTCAGAGGTGGGTTTTTGGGATTCGAGACTACAGAGCTGTGCATGAGAGGAGTTCTCCGAGATGCGTGGCTCCTGATCCGATAGCGCTTTTCTCGGCTCCTGATCCGTGCGAAGGTAGAACAGGAGCGCATCGTGGCACGCACCAGTGCACCATGATGCCATGACGTGCCACTGCAGGAAGTCACCAGCATGACTGATCGTACCTTCATGACCCGAGCCTGCTGCTGAAACCCTCAAGCTCGAAATCAGATGAATGATGACGAAAGCACCTACATGTTTGCAGTTTGTGTTGACTCAAATTCAGTCAACTCATGTCAACTCATGTCAACTCCTGCAGTCCCATGCACACGAACTGATTAGTACAGCGACAAGCAGCACTGCTGGCTTTGGCCAAATGGAGGTCAGGGGCGATGATGAGAACGGCACGGTCATGCACGGTGGCACGGGCAGTCTTGCGATGTCTTGCGAACGGTCAGATTTGGTGGACACAAGGTTTTCCTGAACTGGGTGAATGCCTGGTCCACCGAGACTTCCATCTCTCTATTTTTGGGAGTTTCCTCACAAAGCACGAACCGTACATATACATATATAATATGTATATATCTACTGTACATATATAATATGTATATATCTACTGTATATATATAATATACTGTAGATATATATAACCGTGTTCCACCTAAACATCGCGTATGTTCCACCCAACACACCTCGGGCCGACTGGACGTGACGTGGTCCGGAACCGACGTCGTGGAGGGGACAGTGTTCACGGTGGTGACCGGGTAGGTGCCACGGGGGCGGGGTGAGCGGCCAGGAGCCCAGGAGGTGCATACATTGGGCCAGCAAACCTGTAAACCTGTAAGAATCGGCAAAAGGTCCTATCAGCTATTTGATTTTATACATGTTTATAATCTATATATATATATTGAGAAAGGCCGGCAACCTAACCATCATCATCCACTGCTAGTGGTAGTCTGATAGACCTAATACATACTCCATGAACATTACCCATCCATGCAACTGTTCTCATGACCCCGTGGGGTTCGAACTCCGCAAGTGGCTTGAACCACGCAGGCGGCACCAGCTCGTCCAGCGGCGGCCGCGCCCCCGGGAGCAACCCTGGCTCGCGCGCGGCCTCCGGCGGCACTGCAGAGGTGTGGTGGTCAAAAGATGGATCCTGGGCGTGGGAGGTCAGTGGGCACGGGTGAAGTGATTGAACAGTACCCGCAGGAACTTGCTATGCCTACTTAGACAGAGAGATTTAAGATAGACTGTTGAGTTTTCATGGATAACCCCCTTTCAAGACATCTCCATTTTGGGAGGTTTTTTGATCGAGAGTCACCAGAGGCACAAACCTGAAGCTCGCGAGAAGCCTCAGGGAATTAACACGGAGATGTTGCCCAGTTCTGATTCGGCAGTCAAAACCTGGAGCTCAAAACCCTGGTAGGTCAACCAGGGTCCCTTTTTTTTGACCCACTGCCATCTACTTCATCCCAGGATGCCATGTTTGTACAAATCACAGTAGAAAGGTTCCAGCTTCAACCAGGTCCTAGAGTGACCCGCCAGGAAGGCAAGACTGTAGCTCCAAAAAAACCATCGGTTCACATTGCATGGTTTGGAAAGTCATTAAAACGTAACATTCACACCACCACCACCACCACAACCACAACAACAACAACAGCACCAGCACCAGCAACAGCAACAGCAACAGCAACCTGTACCAGCACCCTCCAACAGGTCACCAATTGAGACTTGTCGGAGCATACATGGTACTGTACAGTAGATAATTCGATCAGGTTACAACATTTGTCACTTCATGTGGTCCCTTTGGAATGCTTTCCCGCGTGCTTTCCCGCGTCCGGTTGGACCTGACTCATGAAAGATTTGTGCGGAGATGATGTTCAACCCCAGACCATCCATGTATGATCATGTATGGACCGGTTCCAGCACTTGATATATGGTATATAATATACATTCGGGTCATAGATGGGGTGAATATGTGTAGCTCTTCCAGTCCCATGGATGATTGGGAAGCAGTCAAAGACCAGGAAGCTTTGTTGCTTGAATGTGTCGATGCAATCGGAGCTCCGGCCAGCTGGCCCCGTTGGTTCGTTGGGCGGCCCAACGAAGGGCCAAAACCTGGAAAATGCCATGGATTTGCAATAGAGATGGGGACCCTTTACATCTGGGGGGACCCTTGACATGGACCCTTGACATCTGGGGGACCATGGATGCAATGCCAACGATGGGGACCCTTGACATCTGGAAAATGCACATATCTTGTATTTGTTTGGACTCTGGACCGGTGGACCTTGACAGATCTGGAAAATTCTTCTTCAGAACCAATGCGACATCGATTTCCCCCCGAGTTGAAACGGCGGGTGCAGAATTTCTTTGGGATCTACATGAACTTCAAAAGGCCATAGACCTTCCACCTGGACCCTCCAGTCGAGGTGTTTCCTGACAAAGAAGTGCCCAGAAACCACCGGACTTAGGGTTCCCACAACCACCGGACTTTTAGAAGGTCCTTCTAAAAGCCTTGGCGTTTGAAATCCACAACCACCTTGCTCGGTCCCGCGCTTTCGTGCTGCGCGCCAGGTCCCTTCCCCTTGCAACGAGCAGGTCGTCATCGAGAGAGGTGGGAGACCTCCGTTCGAGGAAGTCGATGAGAGCAGGTCCTGAACCTGCAGCCTGTAGAGGTGAAGATG